AGGGCCGCCGCCTCTGCGGCGCGGCGGGTCGCGTCCAGCAGCGCGCGGCTGGCGGCGTCTGAGAGGGGTAGCAGGGCGTCCGCTTGATCCACCAGCTCCACAGCCCTGGTTTTGAAATTGCGAAATATTGGGGGCAAACCCAAGTGATTGATGCATGTCTTGCACTCAATTTTTCCCTCATTGACAAGCATCGCGGGGTCTCAGCCCCCATTGCGGGCAGCAATGCTCCCGGGCGGCCCCCACCGCACCTGCCGGCCTCCCCGCACGCGACGAGCGCCAGCGCCGCCACCAGCCGCGCGCCGCCGACGCCCGGGTGCGCCGCGCCGCGCTCCCGCTCCCGCAGCCGCGCCACGTCGAGCAGCATGTCCGCCACCTCCAGCAGCTGCAGCGGCCCCACCGGCAGCCGCGCCGCCGCCCCCTCCGCCGCCGCCCCAGCCCCCGCCGCCACCTGCCCCGCGCCCGAGCCGCCGCCGCTGGCCGAAGGCTCCCCCGCAGAGGACGACTCGCGCCCGGCTGCTGTCGCGCCTGCTGCGGCGTCGAGGGCGAGCGGCGCCAGGGCGGACTGCCAGATTTCGACGACCGTGTCGCCGCAGGCGAGGGCGCCCTGGGGGTTCTGCCCAGAGTCTTGCAGCACCTGCGTCACGCGCCGGCGTGAATTTCAGGCTGCGGCTCGGCCACGCCCGGTCAAGCAACAGTGATGAATCGGCAGTGAATGTGGCTGTTTTGCAAGCGGTGTGCATTCTGCACGTCAGGTTTCTTGAGTACCAGGGCATCCACGCCGCTGATTCAACCGCGCAAGCCAGACCGCCGCCCAGGCTCGGAGGGCAAGCACGCCGAGGATGCGCTCGCACATGGACACACACACACACACACACACACACACACACACACACACACTCTCTCTCTCTCACACACACACACACACACACACACACGCATGACACCCCTCTTTCAGCCTGCCGCATCCCATCCCTCCCCCCTGCCGGACCCGTCGGGCAAAAACACACGGCGCCGTGGCCAGGTCAGCGGCGCGCCTTTCCGAGGTTGAAGTATCCGAGGCTGGTGCGGGGGTCCCGGGGGCCGTACTCCAGGGCGCATTGGTACACATCCTCTGCAAAGCACGCCAGCGCCTGCTGCGTCTTGCCCTGCAGGGGTGCAGAAGCGAGCCGCGGCCGTTCAACCCAAGCAGACGGGTGCATCGCAGCAAAGACGATCTTTTCCATTGGTTTGGGAAAGGCGATCGTTGTTACGGATGTGGGCAGGCAGCGCTGCGCACTCTGACGAAAGGGTGGCTGGCAAGGCTATCGCAAACGCACCTTTTCGCCCCGGCTGCCGCGCGCACGCCGCCCAGCAGTGGGGCTGCCCCCAGCAGACGGCGACGCCGCCCCGCAACACACTTTTGCCTGCAAGCTCGCCCCTGCTGCATGCACCACGTCTCGTGAACGGAACACATCGCCCCCGCCCCTCCCCTCGCACGCAGCAAGCGACTTTGCCTTATGTTTCGAGCCCACCAATGCCCCCCCCC